AGGATAGTGCACCACCGGGTCATAATCCTCTATGTCTACGCACGGGGGAATGCCGTACTTGACCTTAAACCTATTTATCTGCTCACCACCCTTTACTTTATACTTCCCCAACCCCAAAGAACCAGCCTGAGGATTCTCGGGAGTAGGGCGACGACGAGGCATCTCTAAGAGTGAGAAAGTGGAGGGTGTTTTTCCTTAAAAATCCGTGAGGAAGCTTACCGAGGATTAGTCGCTATGTATCAACCGGAGACACCTCCAATCGTCGAAAAATAACAAGGGATAGGAGGAAGAAAAGAGGAAAGATACTAGAACTCACCCGAATGTCAAACGGAGTTTTTTCTGAAAAACTTTAAAGCGACTCTTTCCAGAAAGTTCAGAAGCAACGATGGGTCTGCTGGCCTTAAGACTTTAAGGAAAAATGGACAGTTGACGATGAGGGAGGAAAGAGATCTCCGGTGAAGATTCAAGAAAAGGCTCTCTTGAGGAAGTTCGGAATGACGAAACAAGAAAATGGAATAGGAGCCCCATTTATATAGTGGCAATTTCATCATTGGGCGCGAAAAACGAAACGACGCATTTAATGCACACGACATCCTAAGCCGGGGAAAGCGGCTCGAGGCAATGATGAAGCATTTGTGGTTGTTGGGAAACCCTTCGTCTCCTTACGACGCGTGCCCTCGATGTCAGAAGATCGAAGGCAGGGGGGCAGTTGATGGACTTTTCTGAAATACTCCATGATGAAGACACGTGTCCTCGGTATTACCAAAACACTGTTGCTAAGATCAAGCACCATTGGCGCACAAAGGTCCTCGCCCCCGAGGTACTCGTCATATAGGATCATGGCATTCAGTACGTTTTACAACCAACACGTAGCCTCGGTCTGATATGGTACCTCGCTCGGTACCCCTCCCTCGGTTCTGAGATGAGCCTTTCCTCGGTGCCGAGGTGTACCCCGTCCTGGACGCCTCCTCTACTCCAGGATAAGCTATTGACGTACAGGTCATTAGCCTAGGCTATTCATCATGACCTCGTCTTACACAATTAGTGTCAGAACGTACTGGAATGCAGGGGCCACAGTCAATGGGGGATGGACGCGTGGCATACGATATCACATCAAAAATAGAAAAGCCGCATGCCGTTGCTGACACGCGACTTGGGAACACAAAAGATTAATTGCACCACTCCCTTGACGAGACTGCATTCAATGCGGTAAGGCTCAGAAATGAAAGGCAATAAATGCTCCTAATACAGAGCATTTATTGCATCCTCCCCGAGAGGAGTACATTGTACCGTCGGCATCCCGATGACGCAGCATTGATTGCTCAGGACCCCGAGCAGTTAAGAAGAGAAGACATTCCTCATTAGAATCAGTGCGCACACTGCCTGTACCTAATGATCACCTACTGACTACACTGACAGCAATCATGAGCTTTTGAGGTATAAATACTCCTTGCAAAAGGCAAGACGGGTATGCAAAAAAGAACTCTTTACTACAATACACACTCAGTGTTTTCTTCTTCCTCTCTCTCTCTCAAAGACTGACTAGATCGTCGGAGGGGATACGCCGGAAAACACTCTGGCGCCCTTCTAACTTGTTCTTCTTTGTTCCAGGAACCTCTTTCAGCCTTATTGGATCGTTCTTCCGCTCCCCCAGGGTCTCCCGTTGCCGTTCCAGGTTACCACCGGACCTCGCAGGCTGTTCCAAGCAGCGTGGTTGGTCACTCAACTGGCTCACTCGAGTCCACCAAGGGAGAGATCTGTTCTCGTTTTTATATTGTGCAGGATCTTGCACGCACATTCTTCATGACAAATTTCTCGAGCTTGCTTCACTTAATTAGAATGCAAGTCAAATAGCATATAATATATCCATTTCTTAGTATCCAAAGTTTACCATGCCAGAATGTGATGGCCATTCATTCTAGGCAAGGGCAGGGCAGATGTGATTCATAGGGAGTTCAGATCTCGTTCAATTTTTTTTTTTTAATTGTGGGTCGGTCACCCATCATAAAACAACAAAAAATCATACGATACAAATTCATGTGAGATCTAAAATGTATGAGCATGTACCCTATTAATACACTGTTAGTGATCTACACTGGATTAGTTTTTTAAACGAGTAGAATTTGAATAATTTTTTTTGGCTCGTTCATAAAAACGAACCTAAAAGCTTCGGTTCGAGTTCGCAAAACTCGATTTGTTTATATGTAAAATAATCGAGTTACTCATGTTCGGTTCGTTTTGGTCTTTATTTGGACTTAACAAGTTGAGTTTAAATAAATTTTTAGACTCGTTTACAAAATGAAGTTCAACTCGGTCGACTTGATTATCAGTGTTATCTAAAAAGTCTCCTATGCCAAAATCTCGATGATGTTATGCAGGGCCGTCCTAGGCCTAAACAAGTAAGATGGTTGCCCATGCCATAAATTCCTGGGGACCCAAGTAAGATTTTTCGGGTTCCGCTAGGCCCATTATTTTAAATATATAATGTAATAAGAATTGCTATTATTACTTATATAGTAATGTTAAATTAATTTAAAAATAGAAATCAAATGATATGATATTATCATAATAAAAAAATTTTAAATTTTCAAATTTATAAAAATTGGATCAACAAGATCATTACGATTATATCACATAATTTATTCTCGTATCTTGATTAGTCTAACATTCCTCAGTCTAATAATAATAAGACTACTCATTTATTATTATAAGTATTACTAATAGAAGTAGTTTTTTTTATTGTTATCAATTCAATTTAACGGGTAATTCTGAAAATATACAGGGTACTTCAAAAACTAGTAGTTTTAACGGATTTTGAAAATAAATATACAGATAGTTACTTCATATATCGATCAGATCAGATCAGATATGAAGACATGCTTGAGTGAAAGTAAAGTATCTTTGCAAAGCTCAATGTTGTGGACAATTAGGGACACAATAGATCATCTAACCGATTAGCCAATGGCACATAACTCGCTAGATGGGCTTGACTTCTTTGTTCTTCTGTAGTGGCATCAACTTTTGGATAGTGGTGGTGGGTTCAATACGGGAAACTTGCATTTAGTGCGAGATAATGCACTCGGTAGTAAACTCGTACCAACTAGATGAGGTGATGCGATGCACTCAGAAAAGTCGTATCAACTATTCGCCTCTTGAATAAACTTGATTCAAAATTGAAAGAATTAAATCATAGTCAATTTTTTACCGTTCTTCTCGACGGTTTTCTTATATAAGTAAAAATTCTCTTTAACTTCATAAAAGATAATTATCGACTTTTGTTGTATTGGGTGGATTTTTTTACAAATATTTTAAAATGTGTCCTTCTTTCCTATTAACTCTAATATTATTTACCGATCCTCTTTTTTTTTTTTCCAATTTTTAACTTAAGTGTTGGGAATAAAACATATAAAAATACTGGTCCGGGTCGGGCCGGGCCAAAAGAAAAATAACAATCTTAAAACATGTGTTCCTTTGGCGTTTTACTTATAAAAATGAGTTTCATTATACCATATATAGCAAGGTTTGTAATTTTGGTGGTAAAGGTAACTAAATTTCAAAAATTCACCAACTGTCAGCTACTTCGGTGGGGCCATAACTTAAACCTTTTCTTTCAACCCCAATTATCCATCTCATCATCGTACCCAGTACGCAGAGGGGCAATTCTGAAATGTCAAACCTCGTGTAAACGGATTACCAAATACGTTACCAAAGCCTTCTTATTTGGTGTGGGTTCACGTGTACACGGCTAGGATGGTAAAATTTACGCCACACGTATTATATTTGTAAGGGGTAGAAATCGTTACGGATCTCATCCCACTATTTGAAGGATTTCGGCTGATCTGGCGGCACCGAGCCCCAGTAACTTTTTACCTCTCTTCGCCAATAGGACTCTTTCTTAAGGCAATCCCACATCGGAAGAGAGTCGTCTTCCCCCCTGCCATATAAGTGAACACTTCTTATGGAGGAGGTACCCACTAGCGACCTAAGAGGTAGAAATCGTTACGGATCTCATCCCTCCACTTGAAGGATTCCGGCTGACCTGGCGGCACCGAGCCCCAGTAGCCTTCGCTAGTGGATACCTACTCCATAAGAAGTGTTCACTTATATGGCAGGGGGAAGACGACTCTCTTCCGATGTGGGATTGCCTTAGAAAAGGGTCCTATTGACGAAGAGAGGTAAAGGCTACTGGGGCTCGGTGCCGTCAGGTCAGCCGGAATCCTTCAAGTGGAGGGATGAGATCCGTAGCGATTTCTACCCCTTACAATATTAATATCGTATAAAATTAAAAATTTTGAATTTTTTTTAAATTATTTATTTTGTAAACGAGTAAAAATGCCGCACCACGATCAATAGGGTACAAGTGAAGTCAAAATAAAAGAAATATAAGACACAATTTGTATATATATTAGTTTAGTTATATTCAATTTATATATAATACGAATAGATAGATATGAAATATTTTTTGACACAAATTTACTATGATTCGATACGAATCCGTCTCACCCATACGACTTATATAAGGTTCTTGAACCATATGAGAATTTCGATTTTAATACAATTTTAACTTGTTTAAGATTATTTGCATTATGAAATAGATTAACTTTGAACAAATTTTTTAAACTTATTGCGTAGCAAGTTTTTCTTTGAACTATTTCAAACACAAACAATACCAATTACTCAACTTTTAACTAAAATAAATTTGGTTATGTTCTGCTAATGTTATATTTTTAAATAATTTTAAGTTTATTGTCAAATAACCCTATTTAAAAAATGAAAAATCACAAATCTACATTCAAATAACTTCAAATCATATTAATTTCTTTCTCTCTATCTTTTTAGTAGGTTTTTTGAAAAATAAATTTTTATAGTGTCGTTAATATATTTTTACATTGATTTATTTATTCGAATTCATTTGATTAATCGCATGTCGTATGGTCATAAATACATAGAGACAGCAAAGAAGTTACGTCAGAGCCCACATTCTTCTACTACCTCGGCCGGTCTTCCAACCATCTTTTGATTCTTCTTTGACTAAATAATCCAAGCAATTATAGCCTAATAAATTTCTATCTCTCCAAGCTCAGCCGCCTTTATTCAGGGCTGGTTTTCTCACTCCAATTATTCTTAACCATTAAATTATACGCTCTTGGAGCACTGGTGTAAACCCTTTGAACGCGGGGTTTACTTGTTTTAGTGGTTTCCCGGTCTGGATAGCCTCAATTTATGGGGTTTTTTTGTTTATTTAATGAATTGAGTATGAAAGAATCTTGTTTATGATGGGTGGTGCTCTGCAATATGGGTAGAGAAGTACCACAGAGAGTTTTTATAATGGGTTTTTGAATATTGGACTGTTGGGTTTAGCTGTTGTCTCAGATGGGTTTGTCTCATTTTTGGATTTGGTAAATTGGGCACCTAAGGATTTAGTCTGATTCTGAGGTTTTGGCACTTGAATTCTTGGAGTTTAGATTTATAGTTCTTGAAAGTTTCATTAATGGGGCTTCGGAGTCTATGATGGAATTTAACTGATTTGGGGAATTGAAGTTAGTTGTCTTGTGCTCTTTTAGCTCTTTTTGTATCTGGGTTTGTTCCATTTGTCAACTAGGTTTTGATTCACCCGGGATTGTGGAAATTGAGCATGCCTAATTAGAGCATTTTCTGTCATTGAACTTGGAATATTTTTCCATCTGGGCTTATCTGCTTTCAGGTTGGTGAATTGGTGCCTGTGGGTTGCTTATCATATTGTTATGTACTGTTTGTCTAGTTATTATTGGCTGCGGTCTACAGAATAGCAATGACTCCATTATGCTTTGGTTCTGAAAGAAGAAATTGGTGTATGATAGTTCATTAAGAATGGCAGCCATTGTGTTGTTTCTGTTTTTGGTGGTGCAATTGCCAAGAGGGTTCGCCTCTGGGTTCTTGATACACTCAAAGGCTCGTGGAAATTATCGCATCAGCTATTCAAGTGATTCTAGTCATGAATGGTTTTACATAAATGGGAAATTGGTAGACAAAGATTTGTTCTGTCAAGCCCTGAAATTGCTTCATGTGAATCATTGCTTATATACAGGAAATGTCATATATAAACGCTGTGGATCGGATCATTCATTAGGTTTGCACAATTTCAAAATGTTGACCTGAGTTTCTGTCCTGCATATCATCCGTTCTAGATTAAAAAGAAAATACACTTTTTGTATTTATGTTTTCAAATTCCTAGGTTGTGGTTGATTGCTGGCACCTTGAGTAAAATTGTACTTTTTTCTATTATCGTGCAGATGAGTTGGGTCTGGAGGCAGGAAGACGGTTTTTGCGGGAGGTGGTTAGAGAAGAATATACAGGACATGGTTTTGGTCAGAGAATCCAGGCGAGTAAAGAAAAAGATGGTCACACATCTCTCTTAACCCCAAAAAGGTTGGCCATGGCTGTCCCTGGAATTTTCGGTCTCTGTTGTTGTTTACTTTGCCCTTGCTTCCGCACCAGAAGGAAAGAAACTACCAATGCTGTTCTTGCGAGGGACCCTATTTCAAGTGAGTGAAGTACAAAACTAAATTCGGTAACTTGAGTTGTAGAATGTTGTCAACATCTGATACGGGAATCGTGAATACAAAGCTGCAAAGCAATAACAGTGAATGACTTTCACTGATACATGGGGACATTTTTTGAGTTGAGTTTGGTGATACCAATACTAAAGAATTGGTTGTAGATAATATCTTTCCAGGAGTTCATTGCCAACATCTAATATTTGTTTAGTTAGCTTGCATTCATTCTGTTGCAGTCTGGTTCAATCTCATCGCAGTTCATGAATTAGTTTTATTGCTCTTGCAGTGGATTCAGTTTCCTCTTTGGAAATCAACTCCGTTCCTGAAAAGATTCCTGCCAGTCCATTGCGAGTGCCACCTAGTCCCTCTCGATTTTCCATGTCACCACAACTTAATAGAGTTGGATCAGTTCATCTCAATATGAATCAGGTTACTAGAGCTACCCAAAATTTCTCACCATCACTGAAGTTAGGTGAAGGAGGGTTTGGAACTGTCTACAAGGCCCAGCTACAAGATGGACAGGTTGTTGCCATAAAACGAGCAAAGAAGGTAAGCTATAATTCCTTCTCATGACCTTGAACATACAACCTCTACATATTAGTCTTACTCTAATAATGATATAATTGCTCATTCTAGTTTAAAAGTAAGAACAACTTTGTTGTTCTAATGCATGTGGAACAGTCTACATAGCTGCAGATTCAAATCAAGATGAGTGCAGTTTCGCAAAAGTTTTTGAAGAAATAAAAATTAGAAGGAAATAAACTTTAACTTGGACGTGCTTTGCATAGAATAAAGGAGGAATAGTGTCACGTGGTATCAGAAATGAAGCATGTTGTCACGCCCTCTTTTTATTCCTCTCCGTTTAGATTTGAGGGATTTCAACACATTCTAAAATGTCTAGAAAATCTTTAGACATCAATATATCATTGTTTATGTTTGCCTTTTTCTGTTTTGAAAAAGTTAACCACATACTGTTGTTCTGTGAAACACACAGAACGTTCTGTATTTCAGTTCATGTGTGCAAATTGCAAAACCCCGAATTCGTGTTAAAATTTTGAGCATCAACATGCCATGAAATATAAAGTAACAAAAAAGGTGATAATTTTATTGCAAGTCTAGTAAAGTGGAGAAAAAATTGATGCAGTAGCAACTATTTAGGGAATTGTCGTTTTAGGGTTACTGTGCACGAATTATCTTATTGAGTCCATTCAAGTTATATTGAATGGCTGAGACTAGAGTTGCATAGGGGCTAGATTTTAATCTTTTCTGGGGTTTGTGGTCTTTTTTCCAAGACATATTAGGTATCAACTCTTTGCAATAGACTTTTGATTTATCAATCAAAATTTTCCTTTGGCTGTTGGTTTCTCTCCCAGTCCCCACTGAGTTTATTTTATGTTTTTAAACTAGTGTGAGACACACATGCATAAATGGCATGTTGAATAAGTTTTATTTGACAAGTGCCTTGCCCAGTCGTAGAAAAAGAGCAATGTCCTTTAAAGGAAGGAAAAAAATGGAAAAGATAAGGGATAAGCAGAAGTTCTCTACACATTATAGCTAGTTAGTTAATGTTCCATGTTCCACTATTCGACCATTGCTGACGAGGGAAGGCATCATAATGGGGCTGAGAGGTTCTTTCTTCCTCCTATTTTTGGCATAGGTGAAAGCCAAGAAGATTTAGCATTAATTATCTTGGATTTTTTTGTCAGTTGTTCTGCACCACTTCTCCATTATGCTTGTTCTCTGAAGAACTTGAAGAGAAATATAGACTGGGTTTGCTACTTTGTAGTGCATAGCCTATTAGTATATTGAAAATCATATTTCAATGCTCTTAGCTTGTGAAATTCTTGTGATGCTAATTTTGTCTTATCTTTGCCAATGATGGATATATTTGTCACATAAAATACTTTTTTGTCTGTTGTTTCCAAATGATTGGTTTTTTCGAAAATGAAACGAATTGATTGGATTTGGGGAAACAGAAGGTTTCATTTTATGCACTTCTCTAATTTTTTCCGTCAAAAGTATATCAGAATGTTAACATGTCAACATAAAACCACTGCATAGGAACACTTTGAAGCTCTACGAACTGAATTCAGAAGTGAGATTGAACTTCTGGCAAAAATTGAACATCGAAATCTAGTGAAGCTACTTGGCTATATTGATAAAGGAAATGAGCGCCTTCTCATCACAGAGTATGTACCAAATGGTACTCTTAGAGAGCATCTTGATGGTAAAATTCTCTAACTCTTAAAGGATTTGCCAATATTTTAATTTGGGATGTAACTTAGTGCTGATAGTTTTGGCTGCTGCTCCTGTAAGGTCTGCGGGGCAAAATCCTGGATTTTAAACAACGACTGGAAATCTGCATTGATGTTGCTCACGGCCTAACGTATCTCCATCTATATGCAGGTGATGACACACTCTATTAAATTGCTTCTGTGATTATTTTATATCCCATTTGAGCTTCAGGCAGAACTATTCTGCCGGAGCGCACAGAAAATTGACCCACAAAACAATGTGATGAGGATCGTGTAAGAATTTGATAGATATTTTAGATTAATCATGAGAGTAATTTAGTATGTATCTTTTAAGTATTTTCTTTTAATTATCAAAGGTTTAGTTGCCATTTTGATTATTTATTTATTTTAGAGTTTGTGATCTCCTTGTATATATAAGATTTGTGAACTCCTTATGTATATAGGGGATACATATTTGTTGTGAGACTAGACTTTTGATTATTATTGATTACTGATATTGAATCCGGATATTACTTCTTCCTCAAATTCTCTGTCTTTTCTCACCCATTCTTCTTCTTCTTTTCTCATCTCCTTCTTCTTCCCTTCTCATCTCTAATTCTTCCCTACTACGATCTACATCAATTTGGTATCAGAGCTAGTACGATTTACATCAATTTGGTATCAGAGCCTAACTTCGATTCGTATAAATCACAACAAAAAAAAATTTATTGTTCATCGTTACGCACTGTTTATTGCGACTGTTCACTGTTCATCGAAAAATACTGTTCATCGCCATACGCAAAGTGAAAAAAAAAAAAATTGTCCCAGCAGGTTCAGAAAATTACATCAACATCCTATCTGTTTCAGAAATTACAAAAACACCCCCAAAAAGTTCTAAAAGTTACAGAACCACCACCAAAAGTTTTAAAAATTGCAGAATATTCCCCCTAGAAGTTAAAGAATTGCAGAAATATCCTCAACAGATCCATAAAATTGTAAAATCATCCCCAAAAAGTTTTAAATTTTTTTTTAATTATGGTATGCATACTCCCATAGAATTTGAGACTAATATTTTTATTCATTGAAAAATTAGAGAATTTGCAAAGTGTCCAAAACACATTTTTTTCTATTTAAACTTGTTTGAAATTGTCAATTGCATTCTTAAATTTGTTCTTATAACATTCTCTTTCAAGAGTCACTCATGAATTCGCCTAATGCACATGTTTCAAAAATCTCTTGTCGAGGTTATCATCATAGAAGTCTAGGGATGTTTACATGGAGTCAACTCATATGACCACAATAGTCAAAGATCCTTATATTTAGTGGCACTTTAAATCTTTTTGAATTCTTGTATTGGTTAGCTAATTTAGAAGAATATTTTGATTGGCATGACATGTCGGATTCTCATTGCGTCCGTTTTGCTAAATTGACGTTGAAGGGTTCTTTCAAGAAGTATTGGCAAACAATCCAAAGAAGCCTAGATCCCGTAGGAGAATCACCTATCACTTGGGTTAAAATGAGATATAAATTGAAAGAGAAGTATTTGTCAACTTCCTACATGGATCAAGTTTATCATCAATGGCTCAATCTTAGACAACATTCTTTTAGTGTCTTTGATTACTTTGTCCAATTTGATTATATCATGTACTTGTGTGATATTGTTGAAGAACCTTGGACAATTGATCAGTTTATTCTTGGGTTGAGACACAAAATTAGTAGGGAGGTCAAACAATACACTATTAATACATTAGTTGTAGCCTATCAATATGTTCTAAAGGTTGAGAGATTTCATAAGAAATCCAACTATAGCTTGATGGATTCTCAACAGCCTGCTGATATTCCACCACTTATGAGTATCATGATTACTTGAACGATGTCCATGTAATTTCTGCATGCTTTCTTAATCCAAATGTGGCAAAAGATTTAGATATGCTAGTATCAGATAAAGAGAAAAATGTTACTCATATTGACTTTCAACTCCCTCATTCAATTTCATCAGATCAGAGTCCTCCTCCTTTACACCCACAAGAGTTCATATCGAAATAACGTGTGTGTGAGTCTTTGTTTGTGTCAATTCTTGAACCATCATTGGTCTTAAAAATTTTGAAAAAGTTTGTTGAGTCTACACCTATGTAAGATATTAACCCAATCGAGTCATTTATTGTAGAATCTACTAGTGACTATTCTGTGTCTACTTGTCCAAGTCATCATGACTTTATTACAGATTCTTCCCAATCTGAGATTGTTGACATTGTTCTGGATTTTGCCCCACTTGAGAATGTTAACTTTGATTCTTTGCCTACTGTTAAGTGTTCAATTGAGTCTGTACTTTCTTATTTTTAACACTAGGGTGTTATAGTCACTCATTTGTCATTGATGTCCTATCCCACTGAATGTCTTTTGTTCAAATCTAATGAGAATTATTTTGCTATTCTTGAATTTGGATCTAATGCTTATTTGCTTAATTTCTCATTAAATGTTAGTATTAGTCCAAATTTTTATTTGAAGGACATACTACTTAATCGAGGTACTCCAGAACCTCCTATTTTGTTATTAGGTGTTTCTACAAATGAAATTGCTTCTTTCTCAACATTAGCTCCAGTTCTTATCTTTCTACTTCCATCGCATATTTCGGGGCAAATAGATGATGTGCTACGTGACTAAATTTACATTGCTACAGATGGAGATTCTTGCATTTATTCTGATCGATGGAAAGATATTGATGGTTCTTTCATTCTAGATGAAGCATTCTGTCATCTTGGTTCTGCTCTCGTAGGGTACTTCTACTTGGAAGACTCTCCGGAGGAGAGTTTTTCTCAAATAGAAGAGAATGATGGGGGTCGTGTAGGAATTTGATAGATATTTTAGATTAATCATGAGAGTAATGTAGTATTTATCTTTTAAGTATTTTTTTTTAACTTTTAAAGGTTTAGTTGTCATTTTGATTATTTATTTATTTTAGAGTTTGTGATCTCCTTATATATATAGGATTTGTGAACTCCTTATATATATAGGGGATACATATTTGTTGTGAGACTAGACTTTTAATTATTATTGATAACTGATATTGAATCCTGATATTATTTCTTCCTCAAATTCTTCTTCTTTTTCATCCCCTTCTTCTTCCCTACTACGATTTACATCAATTTGGTATCACAGCTATTACGATCTACATCACAATGTCAATTGGAGTACGAGTTTCTTTGATTATAATAGTGGCTTTTTGGTTCCAGTTTTTCTTCTCTTGTTCTTAATCTCAATAACAAACGCAAAGGGGGATCTGTGAACAGATGTGTTGTTGCCGTTGTGGGATTCAAACTACACCTTAATTTGTAAAACGAAAAAGCAAAAGCCTTTCTGATGTGAAATAGGACAACATAGTGGGGACTTATCTTTGTATCCTAGGATTTTCTTTCTTTTTTTGTTTAAAGATTGTGGCTCATACAAACAGGCTATTGGATTAATATACAAGAGTAGTAGTATTTGCAGTGTTCAAGCTCACAAATAATTTGTTCATCTGTTGATATATACTAGTCGGTGAGATAACAAAAAGGTAAGAATTGATTGTATTTGCTCATGGCCAGAATTGTTGAAGCAAGTAATGCAAAAATTATTGTCAGACATATATCAACAATTAGTGATAGGAAAATATGGGCCAACAAATGTTGAAGTGTTCATGCAACATAGCCTCCTGTAATGTGTATGCCATTGCTCTGTGTCTCAAATGTTTAATTCCTACTATTTCATTGACCTTGCAACAGAGAAGCCAATTATCCACCGCGATGTGAAGTCATCCAATATTCTTCTGACAGAGAGCATGAGAGCAAAAGTTGCCGATTTTGGATTTGCAAGGCTTGGAGATCAGGACTCTGATAAAACACATATTTCAACCAAAGTGAAAGGGACAGTCGGTTACCTCGACCCTGAGTATATGAAGACTTATCAACTCACCCCAAAAAGCGATGTGTACTCATTTGGGGTTTTATTATTGGAAATTATGACGTGCCGTCGGCCTTTAGAGTTGAACAGACATGTTGATGAGAGGGTGACGCTTAGATGGGTAAGCTTCTCATTTTCTCCCGAGTCCTTGACAATATTTATCATGGCTAACCTGATTCAGTGCTACAAAGGAATTGATAGCTGAGACCTTAGAAAGTTCCCAGTTGTGACATTGCACTTTCTCAGAGGGGCTTATTCAAGTGTAGAACTTAATTAGCCCCTCCAATAAAATGAAAAGACGCTACTGTGGTCTCCTTTAACATTTTCCTTGTACCATTGATAATCCGGGTGGTGAACACCATGGAATCAGTTGGAACAATATCTTGAACCACATTTGGTAAGTTTATAACTTCCCTTGAGATAAAATCGCTGTTGTACAACCAGTAGAACCAGTTTAGCACTAGGGAAGTTACACCTTTGTTTGCCCCAATTCAGAACCATTTATTTCAAGGGGATTACACTGAAAATATTTGTGGATTCTGGAGTTAGCATGACTACATGATCATTTGATACAATTGACTTCAGCCTCTAAAACCAGAATTCGTGCTGGCTCATTGTAAGGGTGTTGAAAACAGCTTCACCCTTCTTTGTTGTCAACATTCTAATACATTCAACTAAACTAATTGCATATTTAATGCAAACCTCGCTATTTGTGTTTGTGTAGGCCTTCAGAAATTACAATGAAGGAAATGTCGCGGAGATGTTGGACCCTCTAATGAACGAAGCAGTAAACGAGGAGATACTGTTGAAGATGTTTGGTTTGGCAATTGATTGTGCAGGACCCATGCGATCAGATCGCCCGGACATGAAGACGGTGGGGGAGCAGTTGTGGGGAATTAGAATGGACTACCTAAGGAGAGGAAGGAGACAGTAGTAAGTGCAAATTGGGGGTCGCTTTTCAAATCTAGTTGTATTGTATTAGTAGTAAAGAAAATACATCTTTTCACAAAGCATACTTGGCCTTCTCTTTGTTCTTATTCCATTTCTTACTTATTCTAAGTTACATGTTTGTGTTGTTTCTGAGTTATGACGCCATGCATTAACAGATCATATCCTCCACTTGAAGGTTGTTTCAGACATGGTTTACTAGGAAATGCAAGCATATCATTGTCAAGGGTTCTTTAGCTAAAGAAAGCTCGAGTATTTTGAGCTACCTGAAAAATGACAGTTCTTTTTTTTTTTTTGGTCATAAAAATGACAGTTCAGTACACAGGTTTTCTGTCACAAATGTGGTTTGAGGGGTCATGTACACAATTTTATCACACATACACAGATTATTTTCGTAAGTGGAAAATGAGATGTCTACATCTTTTGCTAATACCGAAGAGAAAACTAAAATGGATTTTCAATAAAGATGATTTGATGTTCTTTTTATGGAATGTATATGCAACCAGAACATATTTCCTTGCAGCATTTTTAAAATAAAAAACTAGCCCAAAGGATATTGGTGGGAATATTCTCACGGATGCGGAGAAGATATAAAATGAATTTAATTAAAAATTAACGGGTTGAAGTGACTAAATATTGACATGAATAAAAAATCCGTCATGACTTGCTCAAGGGAATAATATATGAGTTGAATAATGTCAAATATAAATAATATAATTTTT